GAGTAGCACTCATGGAAAAACATTTATCTGAATACATCTCTACTGCTCTGAGAGACTTCAAAACAACCAGGTTTGAAAGTGTTTTTGATTTTCTTAAATATATTTGAAAGAGTTATATAAAGATCTAGAAATAAAAATAGAACGAAGAGGTTAATTTAGTTTATAAAGTCCTCAACTATTTTATTTTCTCCTTTTGTTACTATTCAAATAAACTCACTCTTTTCTCAGGAAAATGTAATTTGTCAACTAAACATATTTCTACCTTGGATTATCTTTTCAGGTTTCATAGTGTTCCTGGGGTTTTCTTTTTGTGAATCATCTCTGATTCTTACTTTTCAACACTTGAAGTTTCTTTCTCTATATAGACTTTTTCCTGACCAGTTTGAAGAAAAATTTAACTATGTAATTCCTGTACTCTCCTTATCATCCCACAATGTTTACTTACTTCTTTGCTTGTAAATCATATCAATCATTCATTTCTTTATTTTATATATGCACAATCAGTGAATGCTTAACTTACTATGTAGGACAGCTTGTATCAATGTTGTTTTACTGAGACCGTATAGACTTAAGGAATGACTTGTTGTTCCAAGTATAAAACATAACTTAATTTTTTATGATGGTAGAGATAATGTTCATATCAGGGCAACAGTCATTCCTATTAAGCTCTAGTCTACTGATCTATACTTGTTGCTGTGGTTGAAGAACAGTGTTTTTCCATATCAAAAGTACTTATCAATGAAAAAATTTAATATCAGTAGCTTAGACATGTACTGTCCAATACAGTAGCCACTGCTTCATGCTGTTATGTAGATTAACATTAATTAAGATTAAATAAAATTAAAAATTCATTTCCTTGCTCACTGTAGCCACATTTCAGGTCCTCAGTAGGTGTGTGTGGCTAATGACTACAATATTGGACAATGCAGTCATAGAGCATTTTCTTCATAACAGAGTTCTATTGGATAGTACTGCCTTAGACATTTCTATATTAGAATACTTACTTCTACCTAATGATTTCTGTTTTTTAAATAAAAGAATTTTCACATATGGATTGTTAGAAAACCTAGGTATTTATCATGACACATCCTTCTCTTAGTTAAGTAGCTAGTACAAATTATGATATCTCACTTAGGTGCCTCTATTTTTGAGGTAATATAGTGATAAACATTTTCATTTGGAAGATGCAAAGAAAAAATCTTTTACCATCATTATAAATTTGGTGGGGTTAGACTTTTTGCCAGAAGAAATATTTGTATAACATAAACCTGCTATATATACTTATTGAAGTCTTTAAAAGCAACCTCATAATTTTGGGATGTTTCTAAAGATGAACTCTAAAGTGATAAACTCTTAGCCATTTGAAATGAACCTTATGAGGCATTTGTTTTATTTATCATTACTAGTAAATAAGTTTATATATGAATGATACTAAGTATTGAAGACTTGAAAACTTAAAAAATTGAATATAATATCAGAATCTAGTAGATAAAACCTACAAATTATAGATTAGTGAAATCAAAACCTAGTGTACACAATAATTCTGTTCTATACCATGACAAAGTTGTATCAAAGTTATGATAATATTTTCTAAAAGAAATGAAAGCATTCATAATCTGTTTAAATTGCTAGTTTTGTTTCTTAGTTTAAAGGATTGGGTGGAGTGAAAATCTTTCTTGAATAGATTATTTTTAGAATGAGTAGTTTAAATATTTAAAGGAAAATTGTTTTTGCTTTGTTCTTAGGTGTTAGTCCTTTTTGTTAAAAAGGAAATGATTCAGCTCTAAAAAAGTACATGAAGTAATGTTCTTCTAACAATGAATAAACTTGCACTATTTGAAGAAAAACATGGCTTAGCATATAATATTTAAATGTTTCTGTAGTGGTTTTGTAATTCCCCAGAAAGGAAGTAAATAGTGAGATATTTCAGAAGTTATCTTAGAAGTTAACTAAAAAATGTGGTTGTAGAAAAAACAAAGAAAGTATTTTTTTTTCCTGAAATCAAACTAAAGAAACTTCTTGATTATAAATAAATTTGATTGAACACCTCCTTTCAAAATAAATATATTTGGAAGATTAGATCAGTAAAATACAAGCAAATTATTGGAAGTATTCTTGTACTTTACCTTCTGTCTGGATGCCCCTGGAGATGAATCTTTGTAGCAAGATGAGAAATGAATTATGGTCTTTTAGGAATCTTGAGAGTATCTGAATCAAGTCGATTTCTTCTTGTTCTACTCTTCATGGAAAAAAGAGTAATGACATTCTTTAAAATGTTGATACAAGTTTTTACCTAGTATCGGAGGAGGAGCTACATGAGCCAACACAGGCAAGCTTGAAAGCTAGTGAGTGAAAATCCAAGAATAAAACTAGGTAGAGGAGGTGTGTGTGTGTGTGTGTGTGTGTGTGTGTGTGTGGAGAGGCTGGGGGGGAACATAAATAAATGAACCTTTTCTTGGATTACAAACTATAAGACAAGTGCATGTGATTATTTGCTACATGGAAGATGTCATGGTGAGCAATTGTGGGAAAAAATAACAAAAGTTTAAGTTTCAAAGTTTAGGAATTGTGTGTTATTGGGGAAAAAAGTCAAAATTTGGCAGAGTGAGTAGAATCTAAACTTTAAAAATTAGGGAAGAGCTACCAATAGAGAAATAAGGTAGAATCTGAATTAATTTGCTCAAAGTTGTCATTTCTTCCTGCCAGTAGACTGAAAAATAATTCAAAAAGTTAAGCTAAAATATAAAAATATGATACTTGAAACAAAATTCAAAGTATTCAGTTAAAGATTTGAAGTAACAAATGTGGAACAAATAACAGTTTGAAAGACTGGATAAAATTAACTTTGAGGAAGCCAGTTTAATACTTTGCACTGATACATATTTTACATTTGTATTCAGATGAATTGTTAGTTTTCTGTATCCTGTAAAAAAGATTTCTCTTACACTTAGCCAGCAGAGTTTGCAGTTGCATTTCCTAGAGTCAAATCCTGGTTTCACTACTTTCTAGCTATGAAGTCTTAGACAAGTTACTCAGTCTTCTGTGGCATGATATGTGGTACTAAAGTTATAAGAGTTAATACATGTAAAGCACTTATAACTATGCCTACTACTCAGTAAGTGTTTGCTGTTATTATTAATACTTTATTACCATTAGTACTACATGGCTTTCAAAGTGCTATATGAGTCTCTGGCTTAAGGTCTCAGTTTAAATACTTGAAAAGGTGTATCCTAATGATGCTCTCCAAAGTTGTGTCTCCCTCAGTTTTTCTCTACCTCAAAACCCTATTTATTTCATAATCTATAATTATTTTGTTCTTTTGTTTGTTACTTATTCTTCTCCTCAACTATACGTTTATAAAGCCAGGGACCATATCTAGCTCATTTATCATTTTAGCTGTAATACCGACCACGTTTCTTGCCACATAGCAGGAATGTATTACATATTTGTTGATACGAGTCTCTCACATTGTTAGAAGGACCTTAGGAGATCTACTGTTTGGTCAATTTTTTTTACCTGATTTAATTTGGCTTTTAATATAACATTTATAATTCTTTAACTTGTTTTGCATGTCATGAAGAGGAATAGATCTTTCTCATATAGAATCTAAATTGGGGAAGAAGCAATATATATGTTGGGGTAGCAAGAATATTGATAATATATGTCTTTAGCATATAAAATAAGCATTCTCATACTTTAATATTGCACTTTCAGTGTATAGAATAATTTCTGATTTTAAAACAGGAGAATTTGAAGGATGATATTATCCAATAATAATAACAAAATCTATACTGATTGTTTATCTTGGATTTATCCAAAGGATGTTTCTTACTGAAATACCTGAAAGACCTTTATATAGTCGTATAGAATGAATACTACAGATAGCCTTATAGGGACATATTTCAATTAGAGTTTAACTGTACATGAGAAGAGAAACAGTAGATTGCTTTTATACCAAAACCAAGAAACAGCACATTGCCATTGAGTTGATTCTGACTCATATTTTAAAAGATACTTAAATAACATACGAATAGTTAGAAGGCATATTCCCAATAAAAAAGTGGAGGCTTTTCTTCTAAAAAGGAACCCTGTTGGCACAGTAGTTAACTGCTTGACCACTGACTGAAAGGTGGGTGTGAAGTCTGAACCCACCAGCCGCTCTTTGGGAGAAAGATCCAGTAATCTGCTTACATAAAGATTGCAGCCTTGGAAACAGTTTGGTCTCTGTCCTGTGGGGTCGCTATGCGTCAAAATCTACTATGACAGTGACTTTGTTTTTTGGTTTGGTTTCTTCTGAATCACAGAAATGTCAAATAGTTTCTCACACATTTTTTGCTTCTAAAATACGAAATTGTATTTAAAGATATAGTTTAATATATCAATCTTTTTAAATGAAAGTTCTATTTTTTTTACCTTGGTACTTTGAACATTTATAATACATTCTGACAATTCAATACACTTCTTTGATTAGATTCTTTTCTTAAAAGTATTTTTTTTAGAACAAAAACATTTTTTAAGAGAGAATTATTTTTTAGTGTATATTTTAACTATTATTGGATTAGGAAGTCATCTCAGGTTTTTCTCTTGGCTCATTTGTTGCCGAATGATTTACTATGAGATAAAATGAGGACGTTGAAATCTTGCAATATTTTAAAGTGTTTGAAAATGTTGATAATATGAACCAGTCAAAATATTGATATCGTGATTTGGTTAAGAGAATAAAAAATTAATTTTTCAAAACAAATTCTTCCTTTTCTAAACATGCAAATGACTTTGATCTTTGATGCTAAATGATTGAAATATGGTCTTTTTCGAACATTTTCCGTATTCTCCTTAATACAGAATTAGGTTATTCTTACAGTATATATTCTGAAACCCAGAAGTGTATTTTCTGAAAAATGCTTTTTTACTTAACCAGAATAATGAAAAAAGTTCAACATGTAATGGATAATTCTGTTAACTAGATGTTCCTTTTTCCTTTGTCCCTCTCTCTCTCCCGTGGTAGTTAAAACTTATGTTAAATTAGATCTATCCAATATTATGCTTAGCGTATGGTATTCATTTGAGTGGAATTATTCATTTCACATATAGAAAGCATTTCACTTGTATTGATTAGTTTAAAAAAGTTATTAAACTAAAGCATAAAAAAAAAAAACCTTATTAAAAGACTGCCATAGGTACACACACATATAAAAGACCTTTAGACTTTTTTTAAAAAAATCTCTTAAATCAGTTTTTTGATTTGTTTCTTTTCAGTATTCTTCATCCATCCATAATACAATGTTGACATTAGGAAGCAAGGAAGAATAGTTTTGGTCTGACTCCTATAATGTACTTTTAAACCATGGTGGGCTCAAAATGGGAATTAAAATACTTTTTTTAATATAGGGAAATAATAGCAATATTGAATAGTTTTCAGAATAATTTTCTAAAGCATAAGGCCCATAGAATTTGGTGATCTAGAATCATTGAATCATAGTTCTTCTGAGAGTAAATAAAATACTTTGTCAACAGCCAATTTAGACTTTAGGGTGGGGATAAAATCTCAGATATATGGATTGCCTTATATCTGTACCTTTTTATGGAATACCTCAATAGATCATATAGAAAATCTTTTCATTTATTTTACTAATTCTTTTGGAGGGTGGAAAGGTTAGTTCTCCTTTTATGTAAATCAAAAAAAAAAAAAAAAAATTCCCACTGCTACTAGTTTTGAAAATAACCAAAAAACCAAACCCATGGCCGTCAAATCTATTTGGACTCACAGCAACCCCATAGGACAGAGTAGAACATTCCCATAGGATTTCCAAGGTGAGAGACTGCCTTATCTTTCTCCCATGGAGTGGGATCCGTCTGCCGACCTTGTGGTTAGCAGCCAAATGGTTTAATCACTGCACCCCGAGACCTCCAGTTTTGAAAACACATCAGTATAAATGACTCTGAATTTACCATTTTTGAGATTACATTGATAATACTTCACTATCAGGGAAAAATACCTATTAAAAGAGTAATTTTGGAGATTCTTTTTAAGAGAGGTGGAAACATTTGAAGAGAGTGAGCTGTGTTACTGTGGCAGTAGTTTTTCTTAAGCATCTTTGAGACTGGGTGATCCAAGTATGTTTTTAAGAAATTTAAAAAAATTTAGCTGTAGCTACACTTGTTTGGGCTTTAAGTAATTACTTCAAATATCAGTATGTCTTGAATATTCATGTATTCATCCATTTCAATTTTTTAGGAGATTTTATGAAGATGGAGCAATTGTCTTGGGTGAGGAAGCAAATATGCTTGCTGGCATGCTGCTTGGGCTTAATGCTATTGATTTCAGGTACTTAATCTATTCAAAAGCACTCAGTTTTAAATAATTTCATCTCTTAATAGTTTCTACTTACTATTTTCTTTCAATTTTTGGTCTAAAGCATACATTTGGATATTGATGTTTGATTCATGTTATTCTCCTTCAGATGCCCTCAGTTAGATTTCTAAATGGTTTGCTGTCTCAGAAGAGACTATCTCAGACTTCAGGAATTAACTGATAGGCTTGCTTTCTAGCTTGGGTAAAATGAAAGCTTAACCACATCTGCCTAAGCAGAAATATTTTGAACCCCAGTAGCAGTGAAAAAACGTATTGGATCTTATATTTTTAGTATTTTTTGCCTACTACTTAAAAATGAAAAGAGTTAGATTAAAATAGATTCAAAGCTTGAAAAATTCTCATAATCTCATGTGCCAAGATAAAGAAGATCCTGACAGGGTATCTTAGGTATCTAATGTTATGTATGGATCTAGAATATCAAATAATATTGTTCACATTTTATTTTCAACAAGTGGAATTGATTCCAGACTAAGATTATACATTCTGAAAATGGATTTATAAATAATAGCTTATTTATTAATAACTTACAATTTTCTTTAGATTTATGGAAGCATCCTTTTGCATTTCTTGAATTGACCCAAGTCTTTAAGTTATACTAAAGTAAAAGATCTGTCTATAAAAAAGAGCTCAAACTCAAGAATGGTGGAAATACTTGGTTTACATTAAAATAATATAATTTATTATTATTTGTGGATATAAGATCCGAGACTTTTCAGTTGTTCAGATGATAAGTCTATCCTAGTTTTATCATCATTCAAATCTGTTAGGGGATATTCAGTTTCTCCTGAGAATTTGTGTCTAAATGTGATGAACGTATCTTCATTTAGAAATTCTCTAATGACTTTATTTAAAGTCTGTGAAGACCAAGACAGTATTAAATAAAGTGACATTGTTTGAACATATTTCTCAGTTTCATTTTTGCTTGATACATTTATGTAACAGTGTATTAATTTGTGAAATTCTTTGTCACTGGTATTGAAGGTAGACTATCTTTATTGAAGGGTTTTTCAGTAATGTTGAACAATTAAATTGCAAATAGAAAACCTGCAAGTTGATAAAACACATGCATCTAACAAGATTGTTTGTAATACATTTGATTTAAAATTTTGTGTATTAATATGGAATATTTATTCTCTAATAGCTTCTGCCTGAAAGGAGAGGGATTAGATGGCAGTTTTCCTGCTGTAATAGACTATACACCATACTTGAAGTTTACCCAAAGGTATTTGACATTTTGAAATGTATTATTGACATCTTAATTTATGATCGAATGGCTTGCTTTTGTGAAATGTGTTTTTCAATTGAAATTGCTTTTTACAAAACATCTATTTCAGTGCTGGTTACTGTTGGACTTTTAGGATACAATCTCTCTTATATATACTCTGGTAACATAGTGCCTAAGGCACTTGACTGCTAACCAGAAGGCTGGCAGTTCAAACCCACCAGCCACTCCTCGGAAGGAAGGTTGGGCAATCAATCTACTTCTGTAGTGATACTGCCTCAGAAACCCAAGGAGGGGTCGCTATGAGTCAGGTCTGACCCGACGGCACATAACAACAGCACATTTGGTGTCCTTGTAACTACATGTAAACATGGAACCATGATTATTTCCTTGCTTTAAAAACTAGCAGGGATAAAGAACATACATATTATTAAAGTTTTTGACATATACTGTCAAATTGCTCTCCAGAGAAGTCATACCAATTTAGTTTTTATCACCAGTATTTGAGCATGCCTGTTTCCCATCCTTGCTAAGAGTTAAAAAATGTGGCTAATTGTATAAATGAAAAATAATATCCTGTTGTTTTAATTTGTGTTTATTTTATTGCCAGTAAATAATTTTTTTATGTTCATTGACCATCAGTCTTTTTCTTTTTAAATAGACTTTTATCTTTGAGAAACTGAAATATGAAATATGTAAATAAAAAACCTGGTGGCCCAGTGGTTAAGCGCTTGACTGCTAACTGTCAGGTTGGTGATTCAAACACCCAGCAGCTCTGCAGGAGGAGACCTAGTGACTTGCTCTGTGAAGATTACAGCAGAGAAACCCCTCTGGAGCAGTTCTACTCTGTCACATGGGTCACTGGGAATTGGATATTCAATTGGTGGCACCTGGCAACTAAACTGAAATAAACAATTTATCGAGCAAATTTCTTTGACAACAGGATAGTGAGAGTGTAGTTTTTAATTTTCAAATATATTCTGAGCTTCTCATTACTACTGTTTTGTTGTTATTGTGGTTAGAGATGTGGTCTACATAACATTCCTTGAAGTTTGTTGAGAAATGGCCTATAATAGGCCAGTTTTCCAATAATTAGATTTTGTACTTGTTAAATTATGCTTGTTAATAGTCTTGTTTTAATATTCTGTATCCTTTTTAATTATTATCTGCTTGATGTTTCAAGTTACTGAGATGATGTATTAAATTTTATGTTTAATTTGTCAAATTTTCCTTGTGATTTTTTTCATTTTTGTTTTATATAGTTTGAAGTTACATTGTTAGAATTTATTTAAAATTCCACAAAGTGGACACCATTGTTAGTGTTTCAAGCACTCAGTATTTGTTTAAGATTTACCCTGACGTTTACCTGTTTATTTGTGTATTCCTCCCTCTTACAAAACAGACCTTCCTTATTTGGTCATTTTCCTTCTTCTTAAAATACAGTCATTGGAAGTTCTTTTAGTGAGAATTGATTAGTACATCCTTCAGTTTTTAGTTATCTGGAGATGTGTTTATATCACCTTGCCTCTGGTGGTGCAGTGGTTAAGGCATTTGGCTGCTAACCAAAAGATCAGCGATTCAAACCCACCAGCTGCTCTGCTGAAGAAAGATGAGGCAGTCTGCTTCTGTAAAGATTTACAACCTTGGAAAATGATATGGGGGTCACTACGAGTCAGAATCAACTTGATGGCAGTCAATTTGTGTTTGGTTAGTTAGTATCATAATAAATATATGTAATTATATTGTAGTTTCTTTTTATCTGTCTTCTAGTTTACCTGTTCTCTCTTCAGTGATACCTAATCTGCTTTTTAGCTTGTACATTTCGTTTGAAATTTCAGTTATTATTTTCTCTTAGTTCTGTTGGGTATTTTTCAAAGTTGGAAATTTATCATCAATCACTGATTGCTTGTCTCCAGTAACCTCAAAACCAAAGCTGTGACAGGCAATTTTCCTTTGGTGTTTGTTTGTGTATGTGTTTGTTTCCTAGATCACCAACTGAGAACATATCATTGACTTTATTATTTTTTTTAATTTTAATCTTTCCAGTTCTGATAGTATCAGCAGTGATGAGGAAGAGCTAAGGACTTTGGGAAGCAGTGGTAGTGAAAGTAGCACTCCAGAGAATGTTGGACCTCCTTTCATCATGGATGAAAATAGTTGGTTCAACAAGTGTAAGAGAGTTAAACAAAAGTATCAACTTACCCTGGAACAAAAGGTATTTACCAGTTTTCAAAAGTCTTTAATTTCAGTCTCATTAATACTTCTAGACCGTTCAGTGCCAAAAGATCTTTTAACTGAATAATGTTGTTTACCCATTGCTACTTCTTTTTTGTTTTTGAACTGTCCCCCTCTTAATTAAAAATCAGGCAGCATTTTAGGAGAGTCTTTCATTTGTTAAAGTTTTTCTGATCTCATGTTTTAATATAAAAATAAGCCATTTATTCTGTAAGCAGTTTTAATTTATGTATTTGTGATTTTCATTCCTGTGATTAATTTTATAAAACATTATTGGTTTGAGAAATTACAGTGACTGAGAACAGGCCGTAGCCATCTGATTTTTCCAGTCAGTTATTTCAGCAACTCTTGGCTGCTAAGCATTGTGCTAGGCAGAGTGGAGCATATATAAGGAAGATAAACTCTAGTACCCCTGGAGAGTTTGTAACCTCTTCTTTTTTTATTCTGTTATCCCATTTACCTTTCTGCCTGTCTTTAAAAACTATCATTATTCATAGGTGATATATCTAGGGAAAGCCCAATGGAATTAGCTACAGAAATATTAGAACAATAAAAAATGTACTAGGGAAAAATAGTTACAAAATAAATTTACAGATATATTATGTATCTCCTAAATATGAACAACTGGTTAGAAAACACAAAGAAAAATATTCCATTTATAATAGGATTGCAAATGTACATTATTTCTATAAAGAAAAATTTAATACCCTATAACAAAGACTAAGATAATCTGAAAACCTGTCTATTTAAAAAATCTGGAAATGCTGAGTAAACACAGTTTCTGATGTTATATGCAGAGCTGAGCTCTCAAACAAAAGGAACTCACTAGCAGCCAGAAACTGGGTGGTACAAACGGTTTATGTTCTTGCTGCTAACCAAAGGGTTGGAGGTTTGAGTACACCCAGAGGTGCCTTAGAAGAAGATCTGGCAATCGACTTTTCAAAAATTAGCCTTTGAAAACCCTCTGGAGCACATTTCTTTTCTGATATAAATGGGGTCACCATGAGTCAGAATCAACTCAACAGCAACTAATTAGTAGGGACCAGAAAGAGAGGGATCTGAAAACAAGAGGAGTAAGTTCATGAATTAGCATTGCTCTAGGTCTTGAGGAATGAGGGTGAGGAGGTACTTGTGTTGTGCTAACCTAGGTACTTGAGTTTTAATATCAACAGAGGGACAGCTCATTATCACTGAAGATGGAAATTGAACCTAAAAGCCAGGTGTGAAATGATAATTGGTAGAGTAAGCAAAGAAATTGGTAAACAAACCTTGGTTACATAAAACAACAACAAAAATAATGATTAGTATGAGGTGGCAGTGGTGTGCTGGTGTCTAACAGCTGGCTTTCACAGGGAGGGTGGGAAAGGAACCCTAATTTGTAGCATTTCCCAATTTAAAGAAACAACAACAACACTGCCGTCAAGTCGAACCCAACTCATAGTGACCCCTTCTTGGGTTTCCAAGGCAGTATCACTATGGAGGTAAATTGCCCAATCTTCCTTCTGAGGAGTGGCTAGTGGGTTTGAACCACCAGCCTTCTGGTTAGCAGTCAAATGCCTTAGTCACTATGCCACCAGAGCTCCCATGGAGTAAATACTCCCACTATAATCAATTTAAAGCTACCAGTGTAGTAACATCACTGAATACAGAATAGAGAAGAGATGCACAATAGCACATCATGTAAGATTATGTAATTTAATTGTTATCAGTAGCCGTGTTGGACACCTGACCCACAAAATTTAACATTCAGCTTTCAAGAGCCCATGCAAACTGACTGCTGTCTACCACTGGGTTATGGAAGAAAAGTGGAAATGTTACACTGGCTAACAATACCAGAAAGGGAGAAAGAGGATACTGAAGCTAAAACTTTTTGAGGTCTTTATTAATATGAAGGAAGGAAGAGAAATTTTTCAATGTGCATACCTACTTCTAAAGTTAACTTTTTAGGAGTTTCAATTAAAAGAATGTAAATAAAATGTTTAACTTCTAAACTATTAGTGGAATGGAAGAGAAATAAGGAGATTTGGTTAATACAGTAGAAGGGAGTAAATGAGAAAAAGTAAGAATGATAGCAACACAAAATAAGTCAACATCACCCTAAAGTAAATGACAGAGACATGCTAATTAATACAAAGTCTTAGATTAATAAATAAAAATGATACTTTAGCTCTATCAATCTATAAGAGACACACCTAAAATATAATGGCACAAAAAGTTAAAAGTAAGGGAATAAAGATGTAATAGGCAAATACTACCAAAAAGAATTCCAGATCACTGAGCATAGACTTTAAGGCAAAAGCATTATTAAGACTAACAAAAAACACTGTTTAAAAATAAAACACTTCACCAGGAATGTACAATGATGCTGCATTTAACAATGTAGTAATGAAAAGTATGAAGGAAAAATTAATAGACTGTCCAGGAGAAATTGATAAATCCGTAATTATTATAGAAAACTTTAACATGTCTTTCCGAGTAGTTTTTAGATTTAACGGTCAAAATATTAGTTAAGGATGTGGTGAAATTAGACAACACAGTTAATGAGCTGGATCTAATAAAATATATAAATGCTCTACCAAACAATTAGAATACTCATCTTTTTCATGCAGACATGGGACAAATATATAATTTTTATGAAGTATACTAGGTCACAGTGTTCCGCAAGTAGCAATGTATATAAAATAAATGATATAATATTGACCACAATACAGTAAAGTTAGATATCAATATAGAAGTTCACCACCACTGACATACCTGTTGTTGTTGTTATGTGCCGTGGAGTTGGCCCCAACTCATGGCAACCCCTCCTTGGGTTTCCGCAGCAGTATCACTACAGAAGTAGATTGATTGCCCAGCCTTCCTTCTGAGGAGTGGCTGGTGGATTTGAACTGCCAGCCTTCTGGTTAGTAGTCAAATGCTTTAGGCACTATGCTACCTAAGAATTAAAAACTAGAAATTAAAAAAAAAAAAATCTAATAATTATGGTTAAAAAAGAAATGAGAAAATATTTGCAAATAAATGAGAATGAAAATAATGTCTACTAGTTTTAAGTTAAATTTGTACAACTTTTTTGCAAGTTTGCTTTATATGCCCCTTTACTTCTATGAAAGACCTACATTATACTTGTTTTCACAAACTACAAGAAATCTGAGGAGGAATTTTGCTTTTAGGAAAAAAAAGGAAAAGTAAAACTAGCATTCAGCATTTTGCAGCAAGCCATTTTAGAGGCAGCATGCACCCTGAGCAGGGAGAGTGGTGTCGCCAAGTTCCTTCCCTGGGAACCACACATAGCATCTCAGCATCAAGCTGTCATAGCGTTGAACTGTGCCTGTGAACACTGTATGTTAATGTTATGTTGTAGATTTTATGTGTTACTTGGTATGATTTGGTAGGTTATTTTTTGGAACCTGGAAATGTTCAAAACTGTTTTCCAGTACAAGTTAGTGGTAATTGTTTCTTTGCTTTACATCGTTTTGGCTTATGAATGATTTCACAGGAATGCTCTGCTTTCGGAAGCAGAAGAAACCTGTACGTGTAGAATTAAATGCTTAACTTAGAAAAGAAAGATTGAAATTAAAGTTAAAGTCAGTATCTAAGAGGTAGACAAAGAACAACTATACCGATTCAAAAGAAGGAAAATAGTAAGAACATATTAATGAACTAGAAAACAGAAACAGAACTGACACAATCAGAAGTTGAATATTTGTAAAAACTAATGATGTAGACAAATTTTAGTGAGAATAATTAATTTTTAGAAAATAGTTAAGGCAGATCAACAATTTTAAGAATGAAAAGGCAGCAGATGACATAACTACAAAGCAGCAGGCTCCCCAAAAATAATAATTAGTGAATAGTTTTGAAAATTTTGTTAATACTTTAGAAAATCAGATGAAGACTTTTTATAAACACTATTTATCAACACTGGTAGACTTATAACCATTAAATAAATTGAATAATTGATAATTCTCTACATACAGACAAAAAAATTAACAGACTTGTATGGCTTTGAAAGTAGAGCCTACCAAATGTTCAAAAGGCATTAGTTATTCTGTTCCTGAGAATAGAAATAGAAGAAATATTTTTCAATGAGTTTAATTCATCTAATACACTTTTGATACTAACAAAGTCATGTGACTGTAATAACAGATGGGAATGTTGAAAACGGAAGAACAATTTGGCATTATCTAATAAATGTGAAGATGTGTATGGAATATACCCCAGAAATTCTTTTCCTACTCTCACCTCCTAGAAACCCTTGGATATGTGTACCAGGAGACATATAACTCAGTGTTCACAGCAATATTTCTCATAATAAGGAAAACTTAAATTAATCTAAATGGCCATTGATAATAGAGTTAATAAACTCTGCAGTAGTTGTGAAATGGAGTACTCTATAGTAATGAGAGTAAATGACCTACATAGTTGAAAAAGCATGTTTCAAAAACCTCTCAAACCTAAATATATTTAAAGTGATATTCATTTGTAAGGAGCTCTGGTAGCATAGTGCCTAAGGCCTTTGACTGCTAACCAGAAGGCTGGTGGTTCAAACCCACAAGCCACTCCTCAGAAGGAAGGTTGGGCAATCTACTTCCGTAGTGATACATCCTCGGAAACCCAAGGAGGGGTCGCTATGAGTTGGGCCTGACTTGACGGCACATAACAACAACAACAACATTCATTTGTAGTAAAACTAGATAGAAAAGCAAGGGTTGGTAAATGCAAATTTCAAAAATACCATCTTTATGGAGGAGGCGAAAGCGTGGGATCAGGGATTATAGGGTCTCTAAAAGTACTGATAATCTATGTAGAAGGTATATTGTTGTTGTTGTTGTTATGTGCTGTCGAGTCGGACCTGACGCATAGTGACTCCTCCTTGGGTTTCTGAGGCAGTATCACTACGGAAGTAGATTGCTGCCCCATCTTTATTCCGAGGAGTGGCTGGTGGGTTTGAACCGTCAGCCTTCTGGTTAGCAGTCAAGTACCTTAGCCACTATGCTACCAGAGCTCCCAGAAGGTATATAAGCATTTAAAAATTACTAGTGTTTATAAATGTAATGTATATAAATATATATTTATAAACAAATATATGTGATGTTTATATTATATATATATGAAATATTTCATTTATAAAAACTAACATCATAAAAGTTTAAAAATAAAGTTACTATGGAAGAACAAATCTTTGATTATTTCCAAGGAAAGTCTGAATAAGAAGCTCAATAAAGGGAGAGAAGTATTTGCTTTTAACATCTATCATAAAGCTGAAAAAGCTAAAACTACTTGTTAATGACATGAATAGTGTAACATAACATGGAAGAGTACTTTAAGAAAAAAGAAAGATTCTAATTAATATCCTCAGAGGAATTCGAAAGCATATTGCAACTAAAAGGATGAATGAGATGCCATGAGAAAGAAAGAATCAGAAAACAAGAAAGAGGTATTGTAAATTAAAACATGATTTCCCACATTCAAAATTTAGTATAAGAGTTTGGAAGATAAATTCAGTGAAGTCTCCCCAAAACAGCAAAAGGACAAAGAAATAACTAAGTAGGAAACAGAGGATCAATCCAAGAAGTCTCATATTTATTAGGTATCTGGCAGTAATCAAAAAAAAAAAAAGGAGCTCTGGTGGCATAGTGTCTAAGGCATTTGACTGCTAACCAGAAGGCTGGTGGTTCAAACCCACCAGCCACTCCTCAAAAGGAAGATTGGGCGGTCTAACTCTGCCCAGTATTCTGAGATTCTGCCTCGGAAACCCGAGGGGAGGGGGGTCGCTATGAATTGGAAATGACTGGACAGCAGTGAGTTACTAACAGGTAATTATATTTTTGCATACAGTGTACAAGGAACTATTTTAAGCAGTTTACCTATATTGACTTCCTTATGCTTCACAATGAAGTACACTTACTGTTCCCACTTTTTAAGATAAGGAAACTGTAGCTTAGAGAGGTTAAGTAGCTTGCTCACGGACACATAGCTAGCTGGTAAGTGATAAACATGAAATACGAGACTAGACAGTCCCTAAACCTGCAAGCCTAACCAAAACGTTAATCTGTCTCCCATGAGTATGTTAGCATTGAAATGTTAGTATCTGTACATTTTTTTTAAATCATATAGGGGCAGCTTTTTACTAGATCATTCTGAAATTAGGTCTATATTTTGAAGCTGGAAGAAATATAATTATTTTTCTCTGTTGTGGAGTTTCAAAATTACAATGTTTTTACTAAGTTTTGCCTTAAATAGCCAACAATCTAACTTTAGTAAAGAACTTTAAATAACATGTTCAATTTTTGTACTGTTTTATCAATGATACTTTTAAGTTGCTTTGTTACAATATAGATAGAAATAGCATTTAAGTTACTCAGGATTGTTCTTCAAAATATATGTGAGAATTTTGCGTTGCTATATATTGGTGATACTGTATTTACAGGGGTATCTTGAAGAACTCTTAAGACTTCGAGAGAACCAGCTCTCTGAATCAGTCTCCCAGAATAAAATACTGCTTCAGAGGATTGAAGATTCTGACCTGGCCCATAAATTGGAGAAGGAACAATTAGAATATATAATTGCGGAGCTTCAAGATCAGCTGTAAGTGAGATCATTTTGGAAAAATTTGGAATGTGTAAATATCAGACAAAGTTGTATTTTGATATAGAAGTCAAAATCCAAAATATCTGATTGCCAGTAGGCAACCAAGATTAAATTATTTTTCAGTTAGTCTTTTTTTAAAGTTTACTTTTTTTTATTACAAAAATGATTTATAGTTATTGTAGAAATATTCGAAAATACGAGAAAAATATAAAAACTTTTGTTACTCAGAGTTAATTGCTATTACTGGTGTATATTCTTCTAAAGGCATATTTTTCAAAGTATTGATCAATTGATTTAATGCGAAAAGATAGCATATTAGACCAGTATACTCAAAGTGCAGTGCCAGAATATAAACTGTTGCCAGGTTGTGCCAGAATATCACTAAGCGTGGTTTAGTACAGCTGACTTTTTTTTCATAGCGAGACTTTGATGAAGAAGGTTATATATTGCTTTACATTCTAATATAAGCTCCTCAACTTACCACTATTCAAAGCGCTTGTACAGGACATAGCATTTTGTCATACTTGCTCTTATCAATTTATTGTTTATGGTGAAAATCTTCACACGTTAACATTTTTAAAGTTTATTTTTAAAGTTTTAATTAGAAATAATGTCAAACTTCTAGAAAAATTATTAGGCTGGTACAAAGCAATCCCATGCACCCTTTCCTAAATTCACCAGTTTCCCACCTTTTGCCATGTGCAAAAACGGCGAGGAGGCCACATGTTCTGACCTCCTCTAATCTCACAAGAGGAAGACAGGATTACCAGCAGTAACCCAAGGCCTATTACTGCAAGGCCAAACATGCTGCCTCCCTCCAGCCCTTTCACCAACCGTTCCTCCCAAAGCACCCACCACCTCT